CATAATATAAAAACAATTTAACAAATTGCACAGATATGATTATGACAAAATTACTGCATTAACTGAACGTAAAACTGTTACGTGAATATTCTTATACTGTCCATTTGTTATATTTATCTTGAATGTATACAGAAACTTATATCATAAATTACCGCTCAATTATTATCTAATCACTTATTATCAATGGGCGCATTCAGCAGTAAAGAGCGCTATGAAACTATCCGCTGAATAGTGTATTTTCTGCATCCTTCAACATGTTGCGGGAGTGGACGTCATCCTATTGCGGAAAATTTTTTTTATAAACTTCGGTTCGACAATATCTTCGTTCAGTCGAGTCACAATTTACAACTGTCAAGACCAAGCAGCATTTCAACACATTTCAGTCGATCCATGTCTTCTCCAAGTAGCCTCTCAATGAACTGCACTCTTTCTACTCCGTGTCCACATTCGAACAAGATCTTCGCCATTGTCTAATCCGATTGCTGCTGGTTCATTTATGGAATTAGATATCGATGTCAATAATAGTAATTCTAATTGCACGTTAGAAAATGAATATTTAAACGATAGGCTGAGTTCAGCAGAAATGTCAGATTCAGTTTCTGTACATTGTACTCCATTAAAAAGTGGCCAAAAAAGGCAAAATTTAAAGAAGATTTACATGTGAGAAAAAAATTGATTGCAATTGAGAAGGAAACAATTTTAAAAGCGATGTAACAGTTAACAAAAAGAAAATAATTCGATTCAAAAAGAAAGAAATGAAATTTTAAAACAATTTCTTACGAAAATGTAACGTTATTAAAAAAATATTATTAATGTTATTATGTAATGTTATTAATAATAAATTTTCATTTTTGCATACATATGTTTGTTTATTTTGACTTACTTTTGTACTTTATTTACTTTGAATATTTTAACCCTATTTTCATTACTTTATATATATTTAATTTACAAATTATTTATAATATAACTTCTTTTTCAATTGTTTCCCAAGTCACAGATAGATCTTCAGATTGATGACGATTACTTATGTATATGATGCATGGATAACGTATATATGGAAGCATTAATAATTAATTCTCGAATATGTCATAATGTAACTTTATTACACATGGCTAAATTTGTAAAAAAATAATCTTTAATTTTGATTTAAAAAATTGAAAATTTAAGAAAATTATAGGTATTTTGTTAAACAAAAAAATTAAAAAAATTTTTTTTCTTTAATTTATAATTTTAATTTATAATTTTAAAGTATTCTTGAAACCGTACAACTTTTGTTTAAAATTTTTTTTTTATCTTTTATACTTCCATGATATTCGGTTCGAAAGAATACCGTTTTTTTTCAAAGGGGTGTTTCACCCTTTAAACACACGTATAAAAAAATATATTTCCTTTAGATTTTTGTGTTTTACAATATATTTTATGGAGAATCAAATCGATTCCAGTTGGAAAACTTCCCTTGTTAGTAGACATATACAGTATGTTCCCCATAATTAATGGTTCGCTCGATTTTTCAGATACTTCCGATAGTTAAAAAAAAGATTAAATGGTGAGTATTCATCTGTTTTATGTAGTTATAACAAGCGATAAAAAAAATTTTTAAAGTTTTCTTTTTTAAAAAGAAATGAAATTTAACTTAAATTTTTTAAATAGCATCATACAATTTTTTTTCATGATATTGTAGAATTCTTTAAAATTCAAGTCATTGTCGAAATGTTACTTTTATTGATTTTATTGCATATTTTATTAAATAAGTACATGTACGTATGTGTGTATGTATGTTCTGTATTATATTCAGAGATTTTTAATACTGCTATTACAAATAATATTACAAATTTGATATTAAATATGAATAAAATCAATAGAACATTAATAATAGTGACATTTCAATAGTGATTTAAATTTGTCTTGAAGGTTCCTACCTTCATGAAAATCTTAAAAAAAATGGTATGTTATTGTTTAGAAAATTTAAGATGGCTTTGATTTTTTATAAAAAAAATTTTTTTTAATTTTTTTATTTCATGTTGTAGCTTGTAAACAAATAAATATACACCTTATAATTTTTTTTTTAACTATCGAAAGTATCTGAAAAATCGTTCGAACCGTTACGCTAAATATTCTGTATATGATTTTATATGATTTTTTGAGGGAACTATCCATTATTTTGATTTGAAAATCCCAGCGATCTAAAGGTTAATCAATTTTTAAAATTTAAATTTTCAAAATAATAACGATTGAAATAATACATAAAACATAATATTGATATTTCTGAGTTATATAAAGTTATTTTGATGAAATTGAAGCTAAAACGAATAAAAAAAAATCCGCGATAGATAATCCGCGATGCGCATAATTTCTGTAGAAAATGCTCATGAAAACCTCAAGAGAATTATTAAATAAAAAAAAAGGTAAAATTTCAATTTTTTTTTTCTTAATTCTACTACCAATCAAGGGCAATGTCTCAGATAGTAGAGATGAATTCAAAATTCTCGAATAATAGATGCTGTACGGCACTATTACAATATTGATAAGATAATTAAGTGTTACTATCTTAGTTACTATAGTTGTTTAGTCGCGTTAAAGCGAACTGTTATTGAAGTCTGGGAGAATAGGAATGAATCCTCCCTCAATTACATTTATTGTTATTGCCGTTTTATTATCGATTTTCTCATGTCGGAAATTAAAATCGTAAAATTATTTTTTTGCATTTGAAGATTTCCTTTTTTTTTTCTTATAGAAATTGATCCGTGTGTGCGCGAATATAAATAACTATTACGTAAAATGTGAATTTTCTTTTTTCATCCGATATCTAATTCAAACGTAGTCATCATTAATAAAGAATTAGATATGATCTTGTTTAGAAAAATCCTAGATGCTTATCGATATTTCCGAGAACGGTGATCATGATTCCGAAGATTATTAGGTGTACAATTTTGCTTCCGCCGTTTTTTTTCCGAAATTCGAGGCTTTATTGTAAAAAACTGGTTATACATTTATGATTCAAAATATTGTCCATCGCTGGTCACTACTTTCTCCCATCTTTCGGATAGCGTACGAATCCCGCGTCGAAAAAACTGGTCATCTGTTGAGGCTATCCACGAATCGATCCAATTTTTTACTTCTTCATAAGACTGGAAGTGCGGGTCAGCCAGGCCGTGTGCCATTGATCGAAACAAGTGATAGGCAGAGGGAACAACGTCTGGAGAATACAGCGGGTGGGATAGGACTTCCCATTTCAACGTTTCCAAGTATGTCTTGATCACTTTCGCAACATGGGATCGCGCATTGTCATGCTGCAAAATCACTTTATCGTGTCTCTCGTTGTATTACGGCCGTTTGTCTTTCAATGCTCAAACGCATCAATTGCGTTCGATACCGATCGCCTGTGATTGTTTCAGTCAGTTTTAACAATTCATAATACACTACGCCGAGCTGGTCCCACCAAATACAGAGCATGACCTTGGAGCCGTGAATATTCGGTTTGGCCGTCGACGAAGAAGCAGGCCGGGAACTTCCCATGATTTTCTGCGCTTGGGATTATCGTAATGAACTCATTTTTCGTCCCCAGTCACAATGATGCAGAAATCCCTTCCGTCTTTGCCTTTCAAGCAGCTGTTCACAAGCAAACAAACGCCGTTCAACCTCTCTCGGCTTCAATTCACGGCACCCAATTTCCTTGCTTCTGAATCATTCCCATGGCTTTGAGGCGTTTTGAAATGGCTTGTTGAATTACTCCCAATGATCGTGCCAATTTTTCTTGATTTTGACACGAGTCTTGCTCAAGTAATGCCTTCAATTCTGCATCTTCGAAAACCTTCTCTCTTCCCCCGCTATGCCGGTCTTCGACGTTAAAATCACCGTTCTTGAAGCGTTGAAACCACTCACGACACGTTCTTTCACTAATAGCGGCCTCACCATAAAAGTATTTGAAAGCATTCGATGAGCCTCAGTCGCAGATTTCTTCATATTGAAGCAAAAAATTAAAACCTCCCGCAAATGACGAGAATTTGGCTCGTAAACTGACATTTTCAATGGAGAATAACTTTACGATGCAGACACAAATCGATTAATGTTTCTATGGGGTTATGTTGACAGATGCCCAAGTTTATTGTATGACGTTTATGATCTATTTATAATATTTCGACCACCACTTACCGCTAAGGCCATCTATAGGAAAACGGCGGAAGCAAAGTTGTACACCTAATAAATTGGAGACAAAAAGAAAGTAACTGGAATGAGAGCAAATTTGTGGTGGTTCGAGACAGCTAAAAACTTTCTGAATCAGTATTTTTCGCGAATATATAGATTGAGTGTATGAATATAATATACGAACAGGGGCAACAAACAAGCAATTTCGTTGAAATAAATTCCTCTTTGTAAACTGACCTCGAAGATGAACGTGAGAGCAAAGTCACAATCGAGAGTTCCTTGTATAGTATCTTGATTTGTATATTATATAGAAATCAAGAGAGAGAGAGAGAGAGAGAGAGAGAGAGAAAAGAGCTATGTCGCGTAAATTGCAGCATATTCTCGCATTCACGTTTGAGTCTCTCGAGTTACCAGAACTGATCGAAGTAACTGCCTGCATCTTGTTTGTGCGATCATCCTTGAAGCGAGGTATCCTTGAATTCATAGCGTGACCGTGTAATCGCACTATTTGCAAGGGATTTATTTTATATGTTCACTTTTTTGATGTCTATAGAAGTGCTTTCTTTACGGAGAGCTTATTTACGATCGGTGGTCTCTATAATTTAAGCGTATGTCTTTTCATTTTTATTTCTCTCAGTTCGCCAGTCAAGTTATTGTCTGATACTGACATGTTTCCGTATTGAGTGAACTTTCGCTTCCTGTTGCTCCTTAATCGGAATGTAGTAATCATAATCTAATAGAGTTCTGTTGTTTCTTGCTTTATTGTTTGCTCATTGTTTGAAATGAACGATGGAAAGGAAACGGGATTGCGATCGATCGTTTTTTTGTGTAAAATATTTCTATTATGTACACAGGTGGTAGCACTTTCGAGAAGCACGATCACTACAACGGTTCACTGCTGCATTTCTATCGTGTCGAGAGGCGGCAAATGGGGGCGTATCTCTGCATCGCTAGCAACGACGTGCCGCCAGCAGTTAGCAAACGGGTGACGCTCGCTGTGAATTGTAAGCTCCGTTCGCACGTTCTCCAATCCGTTCCAATCTGATTCACAAATTATAATTATGGAAAGTAATTTGCCAATATTTTTCATATACCATAGTCAAGATTCGAAAGAGAAAACAGTTAAGGGAAGCTTCAAGATAAATTTACAAAATGAAGAAAATGAAAATTTGATTTATTTCACTACAATAATTTAACAAAAATGGAACTCCTAATTTCTTTCCCTACAATTTCTAAAATAGGTTCGAATACTTATTCTGGATATAATATTAGTTTCAAAAGCTACTATTTTGCGCTGCGAAAACTCGTATTTAAGCTTCAATTATGCAATGCAAATAAAAAGAAATTTTTTGCCAAAAAAAAACTTGATTTCGTGCATAATCAGAAAAGAATTAAATTTTCATTTCCTTCTTAAAACAAACTCTATCTTTAAGATCTTACTTCCTTCGTACATACATTTGTGAAAAGCTTCTGCTCTCATTTCCTAAATTTATTTTATTTCCATAGTCGCACCCGTCGTAAAAGCACCTAATCAGTTATTGGGCGCTCCTTTGGGTACAGACGTGCAGCTTGAATGCTATGTCGAAGCGTTTCCGAATACGATCAATTATTGGGTAAAGAATCAACGAGGCACGGAAGACGAAATGTTATTGGAAGGGTAAGTTCTCCTTCGTCATTTTCTTAAAGGAATAATCATACGTGATAATATAGCTTAAGATATCAAGTACTCATACGGAACCGAATGCTATTACAATATTGCTGGATGTTGTAAAGTTACAATATTGCTAGAATATTTTGTGTTCTATGAGATAACCATAAAAGAATTATGGTCAGTTTCTTATGCAAATTAAGATCCTGAGTCGTTGAGGTATAGGTAATGGATATGATTGTATGGCATTCAAAAAGGATTAAAAAATTTCATAGGCATAACCTTTACATCTAATAATGATTCCCTGTAATGATTTTCCTAAGTGTTAGAGATGTCCAAAATTTGCTATTATACGTGATGTGACGATAAATTTCGGTAAATTTTATGAGAAAATAGACACAACTTAATTGATATACAACTTAATTAATATACAAATGATCCTTATTGTTCTTCAAAGTAATTCCCCCTTAAAGACGATATATATTTTTGACAACATTCATATAACTTGTGAAAACTTAATAAAAATACATTTTTGAATATCATCTTAAGTTTTGTTATCAGTTCTAATAGAACGAATAGTATGCAGAAATCATAATAACATCATAAAGACATCATGATCTTATTTGTTATAAGTTTATTTTGAAATACCAAATATCATTATAATACAGGCCGACAAAATTTAGGGGGAGATCTTGTGCTTTGAATTTTGAAATATAAAACCAAATAATTCGAAAGAAAAAAGTCGTAAAAAATATCTGATAATTTATACTTATAGCTGTATGTTTTTAGTTTAAATTCTTTTTCGAAAAACTAATTTCTGACTATTTGTTCAGAAATTATCGAATTTAAACTTTCAAAACAGCTCGCGCATTACTTATAGTGCATGATGTTCTCTTGAGTCTGATCATCGAATACAGGAGCTTGTTTAATTGTTTTTAATTAACTGATTTCAAGCCTGAAATAAAAAATATCACAATTCAAAATGGTGGATCCAAGAGGAAGAATTTTAAAAAATACATACATGAAAATCAATATTTGGTGATTTTGTAAGTCTCTGATTACTTATATTGTAATTGTTGAATTGAAAATAGCAGATCCATTGACAATGAATAATAAGTAAATGTACATTGATGTACATTTGTAAGTAAATGTACTTAATGATGATTTTACTGTTATCCATCCTGTATCACGTGGAGATATTACCTTATTATAATAAGTCCATAAATAATCAAAGTAATTTCCATACAAGATCAAGCAAGTACGCTAGCCGCGATATAGCTTCGAATGGGTGATCGCTTGAAAACATCATAAAATTAATTTATTAATTCAGGGAAAAACATTTTTGTTACATAATAGTTACTATTCACCAAATTATAGTTGACCAATAGTTACTATTATTCAATAATATCATTGGTTCCCAATCGTATTTTTTTATAACGAATGTGTATACGTATGCTTAACGGAGATTCAGAATGATAAACAGAGCAATAATCAATGGGTGCTCGATCTTAAGAGGTGGTGCTGCAATATTAAATAAAAACAAATATATTCATATTTGAGTGAGATGGAATGATAATGTAAGCCACTGAATTAAAGATCAATATTTGATATTTGGAATTAAAAAGTCTGTACTATCGACAAATTTGATCATCACTCCAGCATCCTTTTAATTTAAAGATGATTTTTACCAAAGATGGATCTGAAAGTTATCATTCATTTTTCGTGTATCAAACTTTGTAGGATAATGTCCTCGTTTTTGTGGTTCTTTTCCATGCTGTTTGTTAAACAGCATGGAAAAGAACCACAAAAACGATCAACAAAATTGATCAACGAGATTGAAAAAAGCCGGAATGTCCATTTTCAAGTTTCTCTCTGCTTTTATAAAATTTTCGCAAGCGAAACGAATGTTGTCAGAAGTATATTGTCTCTAGAAGAGATTATCTTGTAGAATAATAAATTTGTCCTACAAATTTATTGTATATTAATTACATTTGTATATTAATTAAGTGATGTTTATTTTCTTATAACATTCACCGAAACTTTTTGTCGCCATGTATCATATATCGGTCTTATTTGATTTCTCTACATTCAGGGCATTCCTCCCGATGACGGTGAGTATATA